CCCACGCGTAGTCCGGATTGTTTGGATGTTGTTCCATGTCCCTGAGATGTATTTCTACAAACCCGTGTACTATCGGCCTCTCTTCCCTTAGCTGTTCTTCTGTCTCTTCCCACTTCAGCCTGTTCCTACCACCCTGCATGTTAATATACCTCATGTCTGAATTGGCTCGGTGCTCGTGGCTACGTCTATTTATGCCCCGGACTCTACCTATCTTAGATACTGTTGCCACTTTGGAATCGTATCTGTCCATACCACCTGTCGAAGAGTCTCCCTGGTTGTTTTCCTCGTTACTAGCTATCCTGCACCCCGAAGGGCTCGCTTGCCCCCCAAAAAAGCTACTGCGCGTCCTGCAAGTCGCCAACCCACCTCATGACCTAGCCGCCCACCGAAGTGAATTCTGTCTTGTTGAAAACCACCCCACCTATGCACCTCTCTGTCTATTTCCACCACCTCAAAACCTTTCTCTCGACTCATCCGCCATATCTCTATGTTTGCGTTGACAACCGCTCTTTGCAGGTTGCTATCACGCACCGGTACCTCCGGTATCGTGCATATCACTACTTGTACCTTAGGAGAAGTGGCACGCATGTCATCGACGCCTTTTACCAGTGTGGTTGCTAGTATTGCTGTATCTTCATTTAAGACATCGTTTAAACCGCCTGAAATTATCACGAGGTTTCATCTATCAGCTGTAGTTTTGAGTTTTGCGCTCGCTTGCCTCATGACTGCTTCAAGCTTGCGTCCTGGGAACGCCCCTACTGCAACCCTCTTGTCACCTCTTACCCTCTCTTTGATGTCTTCTGTGCATCGATTTAAATTCGAGTCCCCGGCGATTATCACATGCTGTGACTTTTCAGCTGGAGCGTCCTGCACCTGGGGGCTACTTGCACCTGTGACGCCGGCTGCTTTGTCCGCTCTCAGCCCCACCACTACCTCGCTGAAGCTGGGCCTTGCGACAATTGAACCGGCTGAACCTGTTTTTTCCAAACTTGCTTGCTCTTCCTTCTCCACCATTCTGGTTACCGGTTCCATACTGTTCTCTCCGTAGGCAGCTTCTTTGTTTAGCTTCGCTAGTGCTTCCTCGGCGGACTTCAGTCTTTCTCCCATTGCCCTCGTTTTCTCTTGCTCTGTCGCCAACGCAGTCTCGAGCTCGGCGATTCTCATCAGCAGTTCACTCTGGGCAACCATCATTTTCTACATTTTTTCCTCGACCTCACATTGCCTACACTTCGCGTCAGCCTCTTCTCCATCCGCTTCTACGCTTGAGTCCACTTTCAAACCCACCAGAACCGCCAGAGCCACCATCTGGTCGGGAAGAATGCGTTAGTGAAAGGAAGCGTACACAGACCTCAGACATCAGAAAGGTGAAAAGGAGAAAAGGGAGAGAGATGGAGGGGGAAGTAGAAGGAAGAGTGGAAGGGGGCGCCCGGGGGGAGTCCACCTTATATACTTTTTCTCTTTTTTTCTTCTATTTCTTCTTTTTTTATTTCTTTTTTGTTTTTTCCTCTTTCTCTCTGCCCCTCTGATTTGAAATTGTATAAAGCCGAGCACCAACAAACTGTACCTTCAATCCTGATGAAGGCCAAACTCTAGGCCGAAACGTCGAAATAAACCATAAACCACGTTGTGACCGCAGACCGCTCATGGAGGATCTGCTTGAATATATATATATATTGTAGTGAAGCCTCCGAACTCTGCAATGGGTCAAACTCTTGAGTACCTTCTATTGGGGCTACCCAACAAGAACGCCGCTCCCGCTGGGAGTCCGTGCTTGACCGTCACAGTCGCCATAGCGTATGATCGCTGGTTGCCGGATAATAAACGCCTTAGCAATATATATAGTGCGTGTGTGGCGCCACTGTTTCATATGATGGTTATGCATTTATAACTTCACCACCAGTAGAGTAGCGACACGCACATCTTTGTACAAGTGCTCATCGGCGCTTACTCCTCGCTAAGAAAATGAAACGTAGAGGGACACGCTCAGCCTCAAATCAAAAGAAAGTGTGTTCGCAGTCAGCGTACGTGCCGTCGCCTTCGTACGCGTCCTAATTTGCGATCCATGACTCACCTGTCCACGCACCAACAGCCCCAGCTGCAAGTACCTTTACGAGGTGGGATTTTATCAGAAATATCAGAAAAAACACGTGTTTTGATGCAACTGCCTTTTTTTAAATGCGAAGCATTTCTTAGCGAACTTCGGCGACTTTGAGCGTATCTATCTATCTATCTATCTATCTATCTATCTATCTATCTATCTATCTATCTATCTATCTAGCCGCCTATGGCTTCTAGCTCTCCTGACTGTTTCGATAATGGTATCGGTACCAATCTTGGCATTGCATAACATGACTGTATGGAAAACATATTAGACTAGTCATAACATGAAAATCATGACGTGTGTGTCATGAATGTCATGGTTTACATTTCATGTTCCTGCCGCTCTTATGGTTTCGTTCACATGGCATGTTGCTAAACTAGTATGTTATGACATGATTGTATGGTGAACGCAAGCGACAGACCCTAACATAAAGATTATGACATGCGTGTCATGTAACGACATGACTACGTGCATCGCGCATGATACGCCAGTGACCGTTTCGCTAGCTTCGCACGTGCCAAATTTTGTATTACGTGACGCGAACGGACGGCATAGGTAAATGACACATCCAAACATGATAATCACGAGATGCGTGTCATGTAATAACATGAATACATGCCACACTTGTGATGCGCTCGCGGCCGTTTCACTAGCTTCACAATGTGCCAAATTTTGTATTACGTGACGCCGATGGATGACGAAGGTATGTCAATGGTGCAAACATGATTATCATGAGATGCGTACCATGTGAGAACATGACTGCATGCCACAGTCAAGGCTACAGTCTTATGCATGCCACAGTCAAGGCTACAGTCAAGGCTACAGTCTTACTGCATGCCACAGTCAAGACGTGATAATACATTTCAACGTGGCGAAGCTCTTCGTAAAGCGGCACCCGTTCGTCTCTCATCGTAGTACGTAACATGTCTTACGCTTTGACCTGCAAAGTGGTGCCTGTGGGATATTTTTCCTGTGCGTTGTTCAACAATAAAAAATTCGCAGCGTGCACGTTAACTGAAAGCCGAATTTTCCTGTCTCTCATTTCCCCTTAGCAGCCATTGGTATGTACATTGAGCACTATCTGACAAGAAAGGTTTGCTACGTTATACTCGAGGGGCGTGACCTCCCTGGTTTTAGAAAGGTTTAGCGAGCGTTGGGCCGCTGTGCCACGAATACAGTGAACTAGTATATACCATGAACTTGAGGTAGTTAAAGGTGGGAAGTAGACAGGAAGCGCAAGCCGTAAGAAAGTACATGTGCGTGTGCCACCTCTCGTTTAGTCCTTGGAATGTCCGCTGGAGGAAGGTGCTTCATATGCGGAATATATGATGAAAAGATGGGATACGGTGGTACTTGGAGTGTTGACTAGATGGGCGAACGGACACACAGATGCATGGACGGACACATGGATGGCTGCATGGGCGGATGGACGCATGGACAGACGCAGGGGTGGATGCAGTGGACGAACGCAGGCATGGATGCACGGATGGACGTGCGGACGCACGGACGGGCGGATGGACGCACGGACGGTCACACAGACGGACGCATGGACGGACGGAAGCAAGAACGAATGGACGGATGGATGTTTCGCCCCACTCTCCATCATTCACCCCTGTGGATATGCTGCCATTTTTTTTTCCTTCAACTTCTTACAACTAGTATTGCCTGTCTATCTTGCCCCGCTGTGGTGGTCTATGTGACTAAGGTACTCCGCTGCTGACCCGCAGGTTGCGGGATCGAATCCCGGCGGCCACGGCTGCATTTCCGATGGAGGCGAAATGCTGTAGGCATGTGTGCTCAGATTGGGGTGCACGTTAAAGAACCCCAGATGATTGAAATTTCTGGAGCCCTCTATTATGACGTCTCTCATAATTATATAGGGATTTCGGACGTTACGCCCCACATATCTATCCATGAACCTTTTTTCTACCTATGTTTATTTAATATTGACCAATCCCATTCTTTCCCCCCCCCCAAATTTGGAGATTTTTAAGTCCATGGGTTTTGCACGGCCTCCAGGATCAGCCCAAGATGTGATCGTGTCACCGTTCCTCATCATAATGACGTCACAATTTTTGGTGACTTGTGGTGTTATTTTTCATTCGTGGTAGATTTTGTCATATTGCACCACCGGTAGTTTTTCACGTGTCAAGAGGCGCCTAAGGCGTTCGCCTTAGTAACAAGGAACACGAGAAACAAGAAAACAAGCCAAGGAACAAAATAATGCATGTAGGCATGCTCTAATATAGTTAAGGCTGATCATTTACCCTTATTCTTTGATTCAAAATACAAATGAGATCCTTGGAAATAGATGCGCAAGAGCCACAATCTATGATAGGAGGCTGTATTTACTTCGTGCTACAACCTGGGAGTCGGTCGTATATCCCTTTATCAAGTTCAGTCTCTGTATGTTTCTTTCCTCGAGGGCACATGCACTTGTATAACCTGTGTACTCTTAAACACACGCTTTATAACGTCTAAACGTCCAAGTTATGGTATCTTCATGCTTTCGCAAAGCTATGTTGGCATGTTTGAGCTTCTGTATATAATTATCAGGCAGAGCGGTGAACGCACATAACTTTCACTAGTCATCGTTACTCTCGTCAGAATCGTGCTCACGTGTTCAAGAAAGACCTTCCTTTTTTATTACATTACTTTTCATTCATTCTCACAAAATTTCTGAATAATCTTGTTGCTCTAGCTTACAGATATCAATGAGCCGATTTTCATTAAAATGAGAAACTACGAGACCACCTACGCCGTACCGCTGTCACCACGCCCAGAAGGTTGGACAGCTGTACGATGGTTCATTCTTGTACAACCTTAATATACGAGCACCCACAAAAGCCGGATATCAGTAGTAAGTGACCAGGTCTTTTTGAAAGTGCTCATTATATTTATGGCTTCCTTCCTGACGTCGCAGAACCTTATATTCTACACAAACAAGTGAGGCAAACGCTGCAAGTGCCTAATACAATTGTGAAATAACCTCGTTGTTACGCTATTATAAAAATCACAAGTGAAAAAAAGCTTACTATCGGGAAAGTACTTATAGGTTGTTTTAGGGAATCTGCATTTCATTTGATATTCCCTGAAACTTCATGCTGTTTCACTTAATAACGATGATGCGGACGTTGGCACCGGTAAATCGTGTGAAACGGGAACGTATCAACGAGGGTCTGCTATAGTACAGGGGTGCACCTATCGCTTTTGAGAACAGTGCATCGGGGCTAACTTTTTGTTCAGTTGAGGACCATCGAAGTAAATTGTAAATTTCACGATCCTTTCGCCTATACCAGGAAAAAAGTTCATTATAGGTCTGTGTCTCTCTCTTTTTTTTTTTCAAGTAGAGCTAGGCTCCTAAGGTCAAATTGGATCACTGATCTTTGCGTGTGTCATAGCCTTCATATCGAGACCAGACATAGAAGGAGACCGATTCTCTGACTTGATTTCAGGGAGACTTTTTTTCCCTAAAAGCATGAGCGTTCACTAATTTACATGCAGTTGTTCTTATATTTAGTTTTAGTCACGTATGTGCTGTCATGCACTCTGCGTACGTCGGTGCAGTGAGGCGTAAGATAACAATAACAATTTGCTTTCGAAATGCTTTCGTTTATTTTCTTCCTCTTCCGTTTCAGCCTCACGTTTCCAAATATCGCCATTCCATTGAGAACTGGACTGCACCTGTACCCCAATGCTCTGTGGTACAGGTTTACCCCAGGTGAGACCACTTCATTTATTGTTCTTTCAATCGCACAACACTCATTTAGTTGTAAAGGTGAGAGCACTTCTACTTAGTAGAGTGAAACTTTGGGATAGTTGGTTTTGTACAATGAAGTACGTACAGCGCGAACTCAAGACGGGTATACTTTTACTCCGATAACACTTCCTCATTTTCGCGACATCAAGCACTGCTGGCGAATTTCAGATAATCGAAATTCCCGTAGTCGCACATTTGTGGCAGTTTTAGTTCGGTAGCGTGATTTCATGATATAAAACTAGATACTCATGGTGCTGCTACAAATCAATTGCTATATTGGGCATGTATGATATCAAAGTACCACTTTACTTTATATAAGGGGCAAAGAACAAAACTATCGTTTGATTGCACTCATCGAAATATCATGAACAGCGCAGATTGTTGTGACTCCTGGCGAAGATGCCAGGCACACTCTTCATTCTACGTTGACTATGATATGCGTTTTGCAAGCGCGCGAAACACAAGTTTAACTCACAGAATACGCCATAGCACTGAAGCGCCGACGGTCGAATACAACTGCCGGATACCTAAGTCGAGGCATAGCGTCGCCTTCAATTTTTTTGCCTTTATTTCAGTAATTATGTACATGCGCGATAGGAATTCTAATTCCGTTGAACTGTCGTAGCAATACGCAATAATTTATTGCGAATCCGAGCGAAGTTTGAAGTTGAACGTAGAAATGCTTTTTATTTTCTCCTGCCTACTGCAGCACACTCCCCGGCACTTCGTAAGATATTGACGATCAACAGGCGGCTGGGCTGTGCTGTCTTGGTTGAACAGCTCAGATATGGTAGAAGAGGTAAGTGATCTTTCTCGATACATACATATTTATGCAATGTATTTATGACTACATGCCATGATGTCTGAAAGATAATGAGCCATGAACTGCGAATGAACGCGTGAGCAGATTACTATGTGATACGTGTACGCTTGTACTGCCTAATATATTTTTGATGTTGCTATTGAGTGTAACTTTGTAAAGACAATCACCACTTATTATGTGCACCTTCAAGTGAAATTCGTTATCTTTTTTTCTTAATTTTTAAGCACGAAGCTTCTTCGGATGTGGGTCGTTCCCTCGCAGTAGAAGTATGTTGTATACCAGTAGCCACATCTAGTTAGTTTCGAGAATTGCTCACTAGACGTCGTAGTGTGTATTTGTCCTGGTCTGACGTTCGGCAATGCGGTCTTGTGCATGAGATCAGAAGTTCAAGCAAGATTAGAAATTAAGCAACGTGGAATAGGTAGCCTTGCCTTAGAAGCTCACGGGAATACACCAAATCATGAGTACAAGGTGAATGGGATGGACATCATTTGAGGGCAGGGAAGCTAGCAGCAAGATGAAATTTGAGAAGCGATTGAGAGAAATGAGGGAAGAGCGTTGGGTTAGGAAGATATTCAGCTACTTGTACATGAAGAATGTCGATACGAAATGGAGGAAGCGAACCAGAAAATTGACTGGTAAATACTTAGACAACAGCAGGGTGCCAATCCAAAAAAAAATTATTGGTTAAGAAGAAGGTGAAAGGAGCTGAGACCGGTATGTGAAGAATTGGCATGATTAAGAAGTCCGCACTAAATATCTATCAAATTTTTAAGCAGGAAATTGCCAAGAAAAGGATCTATGATAGTGCTCGAGGTAGTTCTCCATTGTTTGAGGCTAGGATGAAAGTATTGCGAACCAAGACATATCGGGACATATACGAAGGGGTAGGCGCGGTATGCAGTGCGTGTGGAAAAGAAGAGGAAACTGCCGAACACTTGATAAGGTTCTGTAAAGGGCTTCACCCTATTGTTCAGGATGATGGCGCAGAGTTTTTCAAAGCACTGGGATTTAGGGACAAGAAGAGGAAATAGACTTTAAGCGGGTAGAATTAACCAGAAGGAGGTTATGTGTTGGTGGCTAAAGTCAAAGCACGAGTGAAAATTAAACCCTTCACGTCAAAGTACGAGTCCTCAACCTCACTATTTAAAGGGAAAAAAATAAATCTATTTTTTGGTTCACTAAGTATAACGGCTTGGTGGCGTTAGCCACCGCCCTTTCTAAAGGGTATAGCCATATCAATTCATCCAATTCATCCTTGGAAATTCACTAGAGGGCATTAAAGGGCATTAATCACTAGAGGGCATTAATCACTAGAGGGCATTAAATATTTTCGTATAGTATGAAATTCACAGCATATCCACGGAGCGAGTGATAATTAGTGGGGCAAAGAGTCCATCCGTCTATTCGATGCGTGTTCTAGTGTGATAGGACCAGACGGACGGGCAGAAAAATGGACAGACGGACAGACGGAGGGACGGACGGACGGACAGACGGATGGATTAACCGACCGACCGACCGACCGACCGACCGACCGACCGACCGACCGACCGACCGACCGACCGACCGACCGACCGACCGACCGACCGACAGACAGACAGACAGACAGACAGACAGACAGACAGACAGACAGGCAGGCAGGCAGGCAGGCAGGCAGACGGATGCACAGACAGACAGACAGACAGACAGACAGATAGACAGACAGACAGACAGACAGACAGACAGACAGACAGACAGACAGACAGACAGACAGACGGACGGATGGATGGGCGGACGGATAGACGAGTGGACGGACGCTGCGCACGAAACAGTATCATTCACTCCGTGGATATGCTGTGGCTTCTTTTCTTATAAAGGCATTTCTCCGTAAGATCAGAATTATTCATTTCGGCTTATAATTGCTTGCATCGTAAAAAATTGTCCGCTCAACCCTCAGCTATCTGACTCACTCTCTTAAAAATAATTATCATAAGAGCTACATTCAATAACACTTCCTCATTTTCGCGACATCAAGCACTGCTGGCGTATTTCGGATAATCGAAATTCCCGTAGTCGCGCATTTTGCCGCAGTTTTAGGTCGTAAGCGTGATTTCATGGTAAAATTCAGGAGGCATTCTGGTATCACCGCTCAGCGAAGCTTGATGTTTCGATTGATTGATTTGTGGGGTTTAATGTCCCAAAACCACCATATGATTATGAGAGACGCCGTAGTGGAGGGCTCCGGAAATTTTGACCACATGGGGTTCTTTAACGTGCACCCAAATCTGAGCACACGGGCCTCGACATTTCCGCCTCCATTGGAAATGCTGCCGCCGCAGCCGGGATATGAACCCGCGACCTGCGGGTCAGCAGCCGAGTACCTTAGCTACTAGACCACCGCGGCGGGGCAGCTTGATGTTTCGTGTAGTAGCGACGACCGTTTAGCTCTTAGTACGCCAATATTTGCAAAGGCAGAGAAAAAGTAGTTACGTTTTCAGTACGTTTCCAGTACGAAACAGACAGCACGAATGCATTTCACAGGTGCCGCTAGTAGCCATGATGGCTAGCGTGGGACACTCTTGGTCTGCTTGTTGGTGTCACGCAGCACGTGATATTGCCACGTTCAATTTCTCAGTCTTGTTAGCACCCCAAAACATACACAATTCTCAGCGCAAACCGCGCCTGCAGTTTTTGAGAAGCTTCCGGACTTTAGTAGATCATTTCGATAAGATGACGCTCACTCTGCGAACTGTACAGATTATTCTGGAACCTACGCCACCACCAGCAATAACGCTAGAACATTCGATGGCAAAAGTATAAATGCCGACGCACTTCGCCGATTGTCAGTTGTTGATCGACGGCCGACGCTCCGTTCGCCGCTATCAGTCCAAGACTGCTACTGTAGTCCGACTTTCCGTTTACTGGGCACAGGTTCGCCCAAATAAACAATTTATTATTCAACTGGCAGTGTGCTTCATTCGTCCACGTCACGACCCCGTGACAATATTATCACGAGCTGCCAGCTGAGAAATTATCTCTTGCAAAAGACCTAGTGACGCCAACAGGCAAATAAAAGTGTTCCACACTCGTCGTACTGGCATCTGGTGGCACTGACCAACACTTACACGTTTAAATGCACATAAACATATAACCTATAAAGTGGACGGGAGATTGACCACCGTTGTAGTCAGTCAGCATAGCATCAGACACGTTATTCGAAGTTCACAGGTTTGGCCCCTGTCCACAGCGTGTTATCTTTCTGTCTAATATTTAGTTCTTCATATTTATGTCCCGATTACTACCAACAACATTCCCTATACTTTCCTCGACATCATTGTCTTTTGGTCCTCATTAGGTTACGTAATTTTGGTTACATGGCAGGTTATTACGCCATTATGTAACCGGGTTTAAAGTTGGGCAAAGACGGTGCAGCTGTGCAACGTGGTTGCTAGGCAAGGCGAGCTGACGTTACAGCTAGGCAGTTACTTGTGGAGGCACCGCAGGGGTTTGTCGAGCTTAAACAGCTTCGCGCTCAAAAGTAAGGACACTACAGGGTAACGCATTAAGAATGTCGCTATTCATTAATTTTGACTAATTATTCAATACGGTACGCAGGTTGCCAGTTGGTGCAGACAAGCAGTACGATTGACAACCAAGTTCCACTTCAATGCCAACGAGCATACGACGAGAACTGCAAAGGAAGTAGCGTTACGCTTTACGATCCAAGCTGCAAGACTTCGCAAGCTTACTTTCCGCAGGACGGCGTAAAACCATAAGTGCCGGCCATTCATGCGTCATATTCCCTAATTATTACAGCTCTTGCTCAACGGCGCATGGCTTATACAGGTAGTCATTGAAATATTAGACGCGGTGGAGATACCGCAGGTAGTTTTTGGCAATAAAATTCTTCCCCAAGCTCATAAACTACTGCAAACAATTTAAACAACTCACTTACTCACTTCACTGCCAGTTTGACGTCGTCAGAAGGACTCCTTTGATAGGTGAATTGGACGTCGGTAATCTCCGTTAATTGAAATGAGCCTAAGTATAGTAACAGTGGGCGAATGCTCAGTTCTACCACCGGAGTCGGTAACCATTGATAAACTTTATTCACTGGGACGTTCAGACTATGACGAATGGGATTCAACGCTGCGCTTACAGAAGGTTAACGGACGTGGATTCAAAATTTCACATTCATGGCAGACAAACATATTCTTTCTAGTGATTTTAAGGTGAAGCATAATAAGAACATTAAAGATATGTTACTAGACAAAAAAATTGAGTGGAGTTTGCCGTGCAAACACACTTCGGATGAGGCCCCGACCATCTAACATCGACGTGCGGCTGACTCGCAGGCTTCCACTTGACGCTTCGGCCTGCGACGCCTGAAAGGCCTCGAAGTGGTACATCTCAAATTTATTTGCAGGTCGGTCGACCCGTGTGAGGTCACACGTGTGCTGATGTATGGGCCTGACCAACGTACTAATTGAGCAGACATGGAGATATCGGACAAATCAAACAAGAATTTAATCAAAACCAGGAAATTGGTGAGGAGTGAAAAAAATTTAACTTAAGAGGAAACAACGAAAGTTCGCGCGATGGAAAAGAACAGCGATATATCAAACTATGCTCTCAAAGAACAATACAACAGGTACAAATAAAAGACAAATACGTGAAATGTTAATAAAATAAGTACATGACGGAAATCAAAAAGAGATACAAAAAAAGATTATGAATGGTTGCACTTGTGAATAGCTACGTGCGACGCAGCGCACACAACTACAAATATTAAAAGACTGGGTATAATAAAATAACAGTTTAAAAAAGGTCACAATAAAAAGTTCCATACGGACAAGGCCAGCTCTTGGTACACGTAGGGGAGTTGACGGGGTGTCGCTGAAGATCTCGCCAGCTTAGTAGACGACGCGGGCGCCTGGTATTGCAGCCATCTGAATACGTTGCGCGGGCCACTCCATGCCCGTCGCCTACGCGAGCCTCGCGACACCGACCAACGCGCTTCTCGCTGTTAGCCCGTCAACTGCCAATTCTGAAACAGTCAGAACTTTTTCGTGGCGTGCGCGTGGTCTCATTCCTTCTGGATGATGATGATTATGAACAAACTTTATTTATTTAGCAGAATGTTCCTCCTCCCCTTTCAGGTGCGAGAGCAGAAGGGAGGACTACGCCTAGACGACGGCCATGATCACATGGACCTTGGTGGCGTCTTCGGCCTGCCGTATTAAGCGGGCTTGCAATTGAGAGTCAGAACTGAGGAGTGCGGTATTTCATTCACTCACGTCTGGGAATTTGCTTCTGTTGGGGGCCTGTGGGCATGCCCATAAAATGTGGCTCAAATCCGCCCTGTTGTGGCAAAATTTACACTTGAAAATTTACACTTGTAAAAAGACCCAGCACGCAGTGGTTCATTGTTACCGGAAGAGGAAGCGAAAAGGTCTGGAATAAGCACCACGCCACCGCCTGTCCTTTGTTCAATGGCGAGTGTGCGGGAGGATAGATATTCCTGCTTAGCGTGTAGTGCTGCGTAATATTTCTGTAAGTGGTCATCCACTCAAATCTCTCGTTGTCCTCCCAGTTCGACCAGGGTAATCCAGAGGCTTGGTCTGTGAGTTGTCGAGCTGTCTGGTGTGCAGCCTCATTGCCGGGTAAAGAGGAGGGAGTGGCTGCCCTCAGACGCTATCTATTGTTTGTTAGTGTTTGCATCCAGCCAATATTCTTAAAGCTATTTGGGATATTTGCCCTCGTGCAAAGTTTCTCGCAGCCGTCGGCGAGTCGCTAACAATTAGTGAAGTCGAGATGGATGCTATGGCCATTGCAATAGCTGCTTCCTCCGCCTCTTCTGCAAAGCTCGTTCTCACCGATCCGCTGGCCTTATGATTTCATTTGTAGTCCACTACTGCTATAGTCACATAATTCCCTTTGTATTTGGCCGCGTCTACATATGTTGTTTCCGGTAAATCTTTTACGTTGTTATGAGATCATCTATTTTTCATCGAACACATGTGTGCTCCTTTTGGTACAGGTGTAGGGAAGACGCGGTGGCGCCGTGCTGGGTCGTTAGTCGCCGGATGTCGTCTTGCCAATACAAAGGCCCTCTTCCTTAGACGATAGGGCGTGTGGGCAAGACGAAAATTGCAGTCGTTTGTGACACTCCCGTATACTCTAGGATATCAATATATAGTTAATTTTGCACAAATACCTGTGTATCTTGCAGCAATTTCTAGAATGCCGTACACAATGCGGGAAATGTGTTCCAAAAAATACAAGTGCCACACTACCGAAAAAAATTCCCGCATAGACACTGGTTTGGTAGTTTATTAAAAATTCTTCAAATGTTGGCGTATTCAGACCACCGTGTTACAAATGTGCTACTTCAGATAAAAAAATACAATCTAGCTGGCGTCAACTTGTTTTGGGGGATTTAACGTCTCAACCCGACTCATGCTTATCAGAAACGCTATACAGTGTGTTTCAAGAAATGTGTCCACTATGCTTTAAAAATCACAGAAAGAAGGTATCTGCGTGCTACTTGCAGCATTTTCTTCTGGCAGGAGACATCTTCAGGTGCGTACAAACATTAGTTAGGGCAGCAATTATAGAAATTACCAAAATTACGTTTTAACAAGTATACTGATTGACGGTCAAGTCAAATAAGCGACTTCCAGCGCTTCCTACAAATAGTCTAGAGTCACTTTAAAATTTTGGAAAATCGGCTGCTGGGAATCACCACAGAGTGATACAATGAGCCTAATTTAGCTGGATAAATCAAAACCGACGCACCAAACAGCGCATCTACCATTCACTTCGACAATGCCTTCTGTGACGACACTGTTTCCCTCGCCGTTATCAACCGTCAATTTTGACACTTCGCTTCGAGGCCGCGTATTGACGCTCGCTTATTCTTCTCCTTCAATGCGAGGGAAACAGTGTCGTCATTGGGAGTGTCGGCTGAGTAATGTATTGGTGAGTCTGAGTCAGTGTGAGTCCTCTTGAAAAAAAAAATTTCGTATGTGTGAGTCTGGGTGACTTCGGCTCAGGAACATTTTGGAGAGCCTTGAGTCCGAGAGAGAGTCCGAAGCGCAAAATCTCTTTCTTGAGTGAATCTGAGTGAGTTTCCCATTTTTTTGCTGACCTATCAGACTCCCATCTATTGATTTTTGTATTGCTATCAGCCTTACTTTGATACGACCTTCCGCGCGTATTGTACGACGTACCGCGAGCGATGCCGTTGATTGTATCAGACTGGCTGGGATCGGACCTGTGGATGAGAGGGGCTCGCCGAGCGTTGCGTAAGGGCCGGTTCACGCTAGCGGCAAGCCTGCCATAACGTTGTAGTGCCGTAGACCGGCGACAGGCGCCGCACGCAAGAGAGCTGTTCAAATTGCACGGCAAGCTCCTCCGACAAACATGGCTGCCCTTCCGAAGGCAGTTGTCGACCACCTCGAATCTATCAAGCGGCCTCCGTGCTCTCGGTAGCTCGTAAGCTCCGAACTGATTCTTCCATTTGCTTTAGACTCATGTCCTTTAGTTTCGACAATACAGTACTCGAATCGATTCGGCACCGTTTTTGAGAACCATATTCGAATAATTGATGTTCTAGGCCTAAGCAAGCCTTTCTGAATCTCGGAGGGCAGACATGACACGGTTGTTTGTTGTTGCTAACGCTCAATAACTAGCGCCACTTGTCCAAACGCCTGCTTTGGTGACGTTTATTTGAATTGCTGTGCCATTTTTTAAGAACCAGACAGGCGAAAATGCCCTGTTCGCTGCTAGAACGTAGTCTGGGGGCAACACGTACGACATATGGTGAAAGTTGCTGAGCAAGAAGCAAGCAGCTTGAAGTGTCCCGCGGCAGACGCCGACAATTTGGCGAGGCGAAAGCAGACGACGTGGTTCAGCCATGTCACTCCTCCGTCGCTGATTGGCTAAACCACTCTCTGGCAAACGACAACGGCCTAAAAATGGGTCTCGGACCCATTTTTCGAATGACGAAGAATGGCAGAAGTGCGCGAAGCAAACAGCCGCGCACGGCTGCCTGAGAACGTCAAACGGCGAGGCATGCTTGCCGCTAGCGTGAACCGGCCCTAAGACACATCGGAAGAGAAACCGTCGATTGCATCAGTCTGGCTCACTCGCTGGTTTTGGCGCTGGTTGCATCTGCCTGTCTATCAATATTGACGCCACTTGCGCGACCGCTGGATAAAAAACAAGGTTTTATATCCAGTGGCTGTGCCACTTGCATCACACGATACCCACTTGAATACTTTATAGAATCAACGAAGTTTGGTTTGGGCTCCCAGTCAGTCGTTCGCTGAATTTTAAAGCCGACCGGCTGTGCCCCCGCGATCTCCGACGACAGCGCAGCTCTGGCCGACTTGCTTGCCCTACGCCATCTCCTGACACCGACAACAGCTCGCGCTGAGTGGGGCCCCGTCCTCGGACTTCTGCGACCATGTCCATCTTTTCTATCTTCTCCTGACTTCCGTATGTGGCTCTCCCTGCCCCTCTCCCTCTTCCTGCTCCTATCACTATCTCTATACCTTTAATTCCTATCATTTTAATCCCTCGTTACCCCAATCCCTCATGAGCTACTGTTGAGGTGTCCTCCCCCTGAGAGACAGTTACAGCTAGGGCTCACTTTCTCTTCCAGAGATGTTCTTGATAAATATGGCTTATGTAGTCATCTCGTGCAAGAAAAATAACCTAACTGGTTTGTGAGCGCTCATAAATCGTATTCAAAAGCACTATATCAAACGGCCAAACGGTGGCAAGAACAGGGTGTATTATGTGATATATTGTTGTCAAAGAGCAATACACCTTTGTCGAGAAAGCTAATTTTAGGCTGACGGACTCATGAGTCCACTCACTCGGATTCACTCAAACTTATATCGAGCCATGAGTCTGAA